ATGCACTAAATTCCCGGGGAGGGAAACCAGGGACCTGAACTTCAGATGGGCCTGGTGCCTGCTGTCTGGTCCTAGGCCAGTGATGAGCTTCCAGTGATGATAAACAGCCTGCTGCAGGTTTGCCAGCATGGCCCTGGGCGCTCTGGAGCTGAAGGGGATGAGGACTGGTTTTCCCTCCAAATTACTGCTCTAGGTCTTTCTAGAATCTTTGGGCTGAAGTTGATTTTATCTTTATAAATTAGCCATGGAGCCACATTTCAAAGTTTGGTGGGTTTGACTCACTTGCCTTCAATTATCTCCTGGTGCATGGTAGTTTATGGTGTGTGTAGATATCAAAGTTTCTTTATTTTCAATAAAAATACTGGTTTTAAAACAGCACCGTATAAACAAAACATGCATACAACATAAAGGATAAAGCCACTGATTCTTTTTTACTAGTCCAGTGCCCCAGGATTAGTCATAGTAAGAGTGTGGTAGGATGCCAGGTGTAGTGTCACATGCCTGTAATCCCAGCACCCAGGGATTCCTGGGTTCAAGTCCCAGCTCTGTCCGTCATCCCTTGTCATGTATGTGACCTTGGAAGAATTAGCTAGCTGAGTGATGGTGGGCCTTTTAGAGCTTTCAGTGATACAAACAGCTGGCTGTAGCATGGTACCATGGGCTCATTACTAATGGACTAGCCTCCAGGACTTAGCTTTTCCATCTGCAAAGTGGGGTCAGTACTCCCAGGCTCACGTGAGTGTGAGGTGCTGCACACTGAATGTGTGTAAGCTACTCAGAATTGCTGTCATGGCCATCACTACCACATTCCAAGGTTCCCTGCTATAGCATTCTGCTCCAGCTTCCTTTGAAGCCAAGCTTTCCCCAAAACTCATTGGTGAACTAAGGAGAACAGGGAAATAGCTCTTATTTCCTGGGTTGGAAATCATTCTACGATGCTCTGCCGTGCCACGTCACAAACTCGGTCGCTGCTTGCGGCTCTGCCATCTTCCTCCTGTGGGTTGTCTTGGTGTGGGTGTTAGGTGACCAGGGCTAGCGATCCTATACCTTGGGCCTGAGACTTGCTCACACCTCCAGCGGCTTGAGCCTTAGAGAAGGGGAGGAGGATTAATTAGCTGTGTTCTAGTCAGTCATGACTTTACCATCTAGAGCACTTTTGGAATGAAGTTGCATTTTAATCATTGCAACTACCAATTAAAATCACCAAGTCTTTCCTGTGGGAATCCAATGCAAGACCCACTTCGTCTGGGCATCTATCAATGCAGAGATAGATTTCCTTATTAATACATGTGTATACCGCATTTCATTCAGCTTTGTCTTCTTCCAGTGCCTTTAATCTCTGCAGGCAGTGACTGGCTCTTCCCTATCTTCTTATACCCCTCCCATTCAGGAACTTCCCAGCAATGCAGAGCTCTTCTTCAATGCCAGACTGGTCTGACAAGTCAGGGGCCTTGCAGGGAAAGAGGTCAGCTTGGGCCTCAGAGCCCAGGGTGCAAGTCCTTACCCTGGTCTTCTCAGTCTGAGGTGCTGACCTTGTGCCCTGACTGTGGCAGGCTAAGCAACCAGGGAGAGGTTGTTTTGACCTCTGGGGGTCATACTCCACTTCAAACTAAGCAGGTTCAGTAACTTATAGCAAAACAGCCATTAACATTCTTTGCTGTGATGAGTGTTCCATTACCCCTTGCGTCTGATGCCATGTCTTACTGTAAGGGTGACACATATCACCACCAGGAGACCAAGAACACATGGCCCTACCTCGTCCTCCCTGACATTCTCTCTCCTGCCTGTGTGTCTTACCTTTACCTTTTTCAAAATCAAGAAACCCTTAGAGCAGGCCAGATAGCTCAGTGGGTTAAAGTGCCTGCTTAGGCAGGGCACAGCGGCTGGGGTTTGACCTCCTGCATGCTGTGCTGGCTCTACACCCAGGGCATTCTGAGATGGTGACTGAGACTGGGCGTGGTTGCATGCACCTCGAATCCCAGCTCTTGGGAGGCTGAATACAGGAGGATTACTACGAGTCTGATCCGTGTAGTGAGACCCTGTACTACATACATAAAAAAAGAAACCCTTGAAAACTCTCTGCCTTTCCCAGCAGCACGACCCTTTCTCTGGGAACCTGCCTGATACTCCTTGCAGTACATTTGATCTCTTTTCTTGCTTGGGTTGATAAACTCTTTTACCACCTGTGTCATTTGCCCTCTACATATTGTCTCCCATGACGCTTTTGATTTAGATTTTAACACTTAGTATTGCCCTTTGTGGTTTTTTAAAAATTGCAAAGCCCTCAGTCAACTTATCCATTTCTTTGAGAGTGGGGAAGTAAGCTCAGTGACTCGTTCATGGATTTGAAGACTACCAGCAGGCTGCTCCGAGCGGCTGGACAGCATTACCAGCTGATGCTGAGGCAAAGGCCACTGGAACCCTCTTGGGCCACTGCACCGAGCCACCTGGGAGGGCTGCCTAGCTGGTGCTGGGATCCCAAGTAGCAGCCAGTGTCTGAGCACCAGTCTCTGCTCAGCGCATGCACTGGGCAGTGGAGCTAGGTCCCCAGATGGAAGAGACTCTGCTCTCTCTCTGGGTCTGAGAGGCCCCAGTCAGGAGATGGCAGCATCACCCCATCTGGAGCATCAGCCCCCAGGCCCACAGTGTTGTCTCCTCTGCACCAGTGGGGGTTTGTGGGGGTTCATGTGGCTGCTGTGGCTGATAGACAAGGTGCTGGTGGGTCCCTGGGTGCGGAAGCAGCCAGTGGTTAGCTAGCCCTGTCTGTATCACAGCTGCCGAGGGCCAAGGTCTGCTCCACTCAGGGCCCTGGTGTAAGCCAGCTCCACATGAGGGCCTCATGGCACGCAGCAGACACATCGCACTGCTACCCAGCTCAGCTCTGAGGAAGACTCTGAGGTCACTGCCTCTGCCAACCGGCAGCCAGCCGTGCTGTTGGATGCTGGGGTCAGTGGAGCGGAGAATGACTTGCCTGTTTCTTGGAGGGCCTCCTGGGTCCTCCAAAGTGACTTCTGTGTATGACAGTGAGTCTGATGTCAGAGGCAGGCCTGCTCAATTTGGCTTTTCAAATTTGTTCTTTCTCAGCAAGTCCTTCAGGACAGGGTAGCAATAAGATCCATTTTATTTGCAGAGATAGGGAGCAACTGCTCGTGGTGACCTCTCCAGCTGCAGTGTCGCTGGAGCAGCTAACCTAGGAGCCACAAAGGCCAAGGGTGTGCCTGCGGAGAATGCTCTCACATTGAGAATCTCTGCATTGGCTGAGCCAGTATCTGCAAGCCACTGGAAACATCCCCAGGGCCAGACACAGCTCGGAGCACCTCACAGGGCTCATCCAGGACAACCTTCACAAACATGCCGTGAATAAAGAAGGCTTACTGCTTGTTTCACAGGTGAGGAGACTGGGTTCAGGGAGGCAAGGTCACTTGTCCCAGGTTGCTTGTCTGGGACTCAGTGCAGCAAGGACTGGAGCCTGCGTCTGCCCAATTCGAGTGGACGGTTTTAACCACAAGGCCATGCTGGCCCCTGGAGCAGCACCGTGGGTGCCAGCCAGCATGTGTTCAAGTGCAGCAGCACCCCCTCAGGGTCCGAGTCCCACCCATGCGCTATCAGTGACTCACAGGCAGAAGTGTGTGAAGTGCTGGGGGTGACGGCGTCAGTATTTGTTGGTTTAAACAAATCTTTTCTCCGCAGGTTACAGCTGAACGACTGCGTCTCTTCCTTGGGCCATATATTTCTCTGAAAATGTCAGAATGTGTCAAAAAGAAAATTGAGTCCAATGGCTGGGTTAATTATCCAGCGGAACATCTCGATGGCTTGATGCTTCTGAAATATCACCACCAAACAAGTACTCGCAAAGGCTCAAGTAAGGCCGTAAACTACGGGGGTAAGGGCGCACTTCAGCTCTGAAGTGAACGGCTGATGATGCTTTGAATTATGGTGGATCAAGATTAATTCCAGGCTCCACTTAGAGGAAGCTTTCAGGCCGAGTGGCTTAGACATAAAAGCAGTTTGCCTTAATGCGCCAGGTGAAAGTGGTGACAACTCTATTGCCTGGTGCCAATTACATTTATGGGCTTGTCCCCAGGAGTGCTGGGAAAATGTCACAGTTAGTGCTGAGGCGTGGCCAGCTGGGGGCTCTATCGGGGTTGTTCTGAAGACTCGTTGTTAATACATCCCCATGTGATCTACAACCCTGCTTCACGATGGCATGTCTGCCAGGGAAGGATTGCTGTAGCAATTGTAGAAAACAGGAACAGGGTGAAGGCTGTAGATCCCAGTCCTATTAGGACAGCTGGGGCTCGGTCAAAACCCCAGTTCTGAGTTAAGGAGGCCCTGGTAGGGCCCAGGGCAGCATTTCTAAGGAGTACTCTAGGGAGCCCACAGATGCTGCTGCTGGCTGGGGGACCACACTGGAGAAATGTGGGAAGACCATGGGCCTGGAGGTCAGAGGGGTCTGGACTCCAAGCCCGACTCGTGCTTGGTAGCTCTATGGTGTTGAGTAGGTCACTTTACCTCCCTGACCTATTCTTCACATGAAGAAATAGGGATCCCCCTGCCTTTCGGATCTTTGAAGAACTTAGTGGTAAGAAGTGTTACATGTTTTTTTCCCACTCACCCCACCCTGGGGGTGGGCAGGGAGACATACTCTGTATCCCAGGCACTGCAGTGTCAGCTGAGACCCATGTTTCTTTCCTCCAGTAGCTGGCTGTGCCCCAAGCCAAGGGTTCCCTACCTCAGAACTCCTGACACTTCAGGTTGGCTCATTCTCTACTGAGGGGAGGGGGCATCCTGTGCACTATGGGGTGCTTAGCAGCATCCTGGCTTCATCCCTGGATTTCATGAGCACCCGTCTCTCCTACTACAACCAAGGATATCTCCAGACATTGTCCAATGCTGCTGGGGACAAAACACCCATAACTAGGGAATACTATTCTAATGGATAATTTATATTAATAATTCATTCAACAAAATGTTTCAAGTGGCTACTTTGTGACAGACAATATGCCAGTTACATAGTGCTATCTCAAACAAACAAGGTCCCTGCCCCAGGGAGATTTATTTATTTCTTTTGGAGCCTTAATCTTCTCAAATGCAAAATGGGTAGAGCCACACTGCTGATCTCCTTGTTGGAAAGATGAAAGGAAGTCTTGTGAGTGGCTGGCCCCAGACACAAAGATGAGATGATGAAGGAGACGGACCCAGGCATCCAGGGAGAGGTGAGTGTGGCCAGGGCCACCAGGCCTGGAGAGTGCCACACACAGCAGGAGCCAGGCAGGTAGGGAACAAAGAGTTGGAACTGGGGGCAAGAGGAGAGCTGGAGAGGGACACAGATGACACGGATACAAGACACAGAGGGAGGCAGTGGAGAAGGGCACTGCACCCCAGGAGAGGGAAACGCTTGTGAGGCAGGTCCATGCAGGGACCTGGGTCAGCCACTGGGCCCAGCACAGTGGCTCTTCTGTTTTTCCTAAGCTTATCTAATTTTAGTTATAAAGGTTAAAATTGAAAAAAAAATCGCTGGCTAGTTCAGTGCACTCTTTGGCGCAGGGCCCTCACTGAAGGGTCAGGGATGGGCACACAGTTTTGGAAGGACACGAGGCCTCTAGGCTGTGTGGTTATTACAGCAATTGTGGCAAGCGCATTAAAAACATCTGCAAACAGCAGAGGGAGCATGCAGATGGCCTGCATAGGCTGGCCCCAGCAAGTTCACGCAGAAAATGCTGGCTGGGTGGACTCAGGCTGGGAGCACTTGCTCAGCCTGACCAAGCTGTGCCCGAAGCTCTGTGGGCAACAAGTTCTCGGCACGGACACAGGCCACTCAGTGGACTCCCAGCCCACAGCAGTGCTGCTCTCTGGCTGCTGCCAGAAGGCTGTGACAGGCCCCCGAAAACCATATTGGCTCACGGAAGGCTAGCACTTACCAAGCTTTTGAAATGACCGTGTCTCAAGGGCAAGCCTTTGCTGAACTTCTGACTTTATTAGAGCTATATTGCAAGAACAGTCAGGGAGCCACGTGTGATGAAGGTGACAGGTCACGCTGTTGGTTCTGCAATGATCTTCCAGAGCTCCTGCAACAGAGGAAGGACAGGCTCCTGAGATGCACAGAGATCCTCGGGGCTCCACAACAGGCAGCAATGGCGGCAGAGGACTCGGAGGATCGGCATGCAGGGCAGCACGGAGCGAGTGCAGGAGTGGAGCGAGTCGCACATCCACTGAGGCTCTGCACTGCCCTTTCTGGCTCACAGGGAGGGAGGGGCTGGGCGGAGAAAGTCTAGCCTTAGCTGAAGTGGGCGTCAGGCTATCACACAACTAAAAGGGATCAGGTGAATGGCCACCATTGTCCCCACTTTTCTGTCAGGGTCTTAACCACTACTTTCTGTGACCGCTCAAGTTCACAAGGGGCTGAGCTCCTTGGTCTATGAGGCCTGTCTAAGTGCTGGCAGGTGGAGAACACACACATGCAGGCCAGGTCCTCGAGGCAACCTCGGGTCCCCACCAGCTCAGTCTCCATTACTGTGCATGCAGAGCTGCCTGTGACCATAAGCAGAGGCTGTGGCCCACAGGGGTTGAGGTGACCAATGGAGGTCCTTCCCCAACACCACACAGAAGCCAGCCACACAAACTCAGGATGGTGTCTGCCAAGGAAGCAGTACAGGGCGCGAGAGCTGGGTTTGTGTTAGTCCTGTGTCTTCCTTTCTCCTCCTTAGAATGGGGTCTGGGTCTTTGTGGGCCCAGAAAAAGAGGCCAAGAAATACAAGAGGAACAAACGTTAACTCTGCTTCCTTGGACTCCCATGAATCCAGCTTGTGGTAATTCAGATTTGGCAAATATTTCTTAAGTATAGGGCACCAAAGCTGTAATAGGAAGGGATGTGGCTGTGGAATCAGAGCTATGCTCTTCCTGGCTGGATGACGTGTCTGGTCTCAGCTGCTGCCATGAGCTTAAGACAGCAGCAAAAGGCGCTTTGCTGAGCATGGTGGCTGGCAGGTGCCAGTTACTACTCTAGTGTCCACCCACAGGCCTGATGTGTCAGGCTGCACTGTGGCAGGGTCCCCAGGGCAAGAGTGACAGTGCAGGTGCCTGCAGGTAGCACCCAGGAGCCCTGCCTTAGGTCCTGCAGCCCATTGCACTTCTCCTCTACTGGATTCCTGGTCCCTAAGAAACCCGCTGCTTTCCTGCTGCCTCTGACGTCTGAGCGACCTACAGGGAAAGTCAGTACTCAGGGTGTGCCTGCAGGCCGTCTGGGGTGGTGGCTGCTGACACCAGCTTTACCAGGCCTATGGGTACTGCCTCCTGCAGGGCTGAACGCATGGCCTGAGTGGGGCCCTGGCCCATCCTCTACCTGGAGCCAGCAGCTGCCTGCCAGAGCAGTTCAGAGACCTCACAGGAGTACCCACCAGCTGCCGGATGCGCTCATACACCAGCAGCTGCGGGAAGGAGGCCTCCACTGGCTCCACCACAAAGCGCAGCCTGCCGTCCGAGCGCGTTTCCAGCGCATGCAGAGAGGAGCGGAAGTGATCGTAGGCTTCACACGTGATGTCCAGGTGTCTCAGTGTGAAGTTGAACCTGGGGATGAAACCAGCAGACACACAAACTGCTGTCACCACTGGGAAGGGCTGGTTTCCCCACAGCTACTGCCTGTTCCTCAGTGATCTTGTTTCCTGTGGGTAGACTAGAACTCAGTGCCCACCATGTACTCACTAAGCATTTGAGCCAATTACTTCTTGAACCTGTACAATAGCATGAGAGGTGCAAATGGTTCCACCCATTTCATAGGAGTCTTGGAAAGCTGATTATTCCCATGGAAAGATAAATACAGTGCCTGCCTCTGCCGAGCTGTAAAGTGGCACAAGGGCAGACTGGCAAGGCCTCTGTGTGCTCCTGAAAGCTGCTGCACTAGCACAGACTCGTGGAGTTGTTCCAGAGCTGTGAATGATGAGAGGCGGAGGTGCAGCAGATGCTAAGTGCACGGAGGACAGAGGACGCACTGTTGGGAGCGGGCGGGTAGTGGGCATGACAGAGAACAGGAGGAGAGGGACTTCAGAACTGGGTCTCCCCTCAGACACGCACATCTTTCAACACCAGAATCTGCAAGATGATTCAACTTGACAATCAAGCTCCTCCCCTGTCCCCTTTCTGTCCCAAATCTTTTATTATGAAAAAATCTGCAAGTGCAAAACCAGCAGGGACAGCAAACAATCTGCCATGAACTCATCACCTAGTGCCAGCCCTTGCCACCCCATGCCACCTACCACTACACCCTGCCTCTCCCCAGGCCCCTGCTACTCAGGACCAAACGCTAGACACTGCAGTGTATCCTGTCAGTGCACGAGAGGGGAACGCGACAAGGTGATTCTTTGCCTAAGGCAAACCTCACAGTCAGTTTTTACCGTCACGTATTTATTGCTCAACCTTTCACAACTGTCCTAGTTTGGCCTTTTGTAGTCTGTAGAAAAAGGATCCAAGGGAGTCCCCTATGTTCCTATGCACAAAGTCTGTACTGTTATCAGCCCAAACCATGCTGCAGCAGATACACGAGAGTTTGGCTCTAAGCAAAGCTCTAGTGTGAAGAGGGGGAGTGGAAGCAAAGTGACATTCCACACACGACCTTACCAAGAGGTGCAGGGCTAGCTCACAGAAAAAAGCTCTTCCACAGGGACAGACTCTATTCCTATTTTTATTATTAGACATTTCAGTTTTGTTTCTAGGTTTTGTTAAAGATACAGGAAGACAGAAAAGCTTATTATTTTTTTTTTTTAGTTCACAGGAAAATGAAATACAGGCGATGCTACCGTGGCTACAAAGGGCCTCAGCCTCTAGACTTCCACAGTGTGTGCTGAAGCCAACGGTGACGGCCAAGCAGCAGTCAGGGCCCTCATCGGCCGCCATCTCTCTGTGGCCCAGACAGGCCCCAGTGTCTCGCAGCTTCATCGGTATGCGGGGCGGCTGTGCTGCTCATGGTGCTTTGCATGGAGTACGAGGGGGCAGGTGTGAGGGCCTGGGGTGGCCCGTGCACAGCAGGGGCTCAGGGAATGGTGGGGTATGGCCACAGCTCACCTCTTCTCCACCGACAGCAGGGCTGTACAGGCGTTCTTCAGCCTGCAGGTGAGCCGGCACAGGGTGCGGAACAGAGCATCGGTCAGGTTGTCATCATAAAACACTGCGGGAGAGGAGAGAACCAGCCAGGGTCAGAGTGATCTGCTTGGAGGGCCCACGGGACCCTGAGCAGAGGATTTCAGCGCCACAAATGGCAGTTGCTCAGGCACACTGTTCTGGAAGGAAGTCTCTAGGCAGCAAGGAATCAGGAAGTGACGGGATACAGAATAGCAGGGGATGCAAGTCACCACAAGGATCTCCTGACCTTCGGCTGCAAACAGCACGGTGGTGTGGTCATAAAGGTCAGCGATGTCCTCTTCTGACCAGCTGAAGGGGACCTCAGGATCTGCAGGAGAATGATGCTGTGGCCCAGTCCTTTCTCCACTGGCCACCAGCTCTCCCCAAGACAGGCCCAAGGAAGTTTCCAGATAGGAGAAAGGGTTGGAGGCAGGCTGATAGAGCAGGTACTGCCATGCAGGCCTCTGTCCAGCACACAGGCTCCAGGGCCACCGCTGGCTGTGGGACAGCCACAGGGCAAGGACCGCACTGCTTGCCAGTGAGGGGCAGGCAGGTTCCAGCCGCATCCACTGCCCTGGTCAGCAGCCGTGTGAGGACACGATCTGTGTTGCTATCCAGATCTCTCCTGCCTCCATTCACTGCCTTATGACCCCAAAACACTCGCCACACCACTCTGTGCTTAGAGAAAGGGCCTAACAGATTGGGATGTTGCTCAGCAGTAGAGCACTTGCCCAGCATGCAGGAGGCTTTAGGTTCCACCACCAGCCAGGCATGGCGGCACATGGCTGCAACCCTAGCACTCAGGAGGTGGAGGCAGGATGGCTGCCCTGAGTTTATGACCAGCCTGGGCCACATAGTGAGTTCAAGGCCAGCCTGAACCAGGCAAGACCCTGTTGCCAAAAACATCAAAAAACAAAACCAACCCAAACCAAAACAAAAACGGGCCTGATACTGCTTCCCTCAAGGACTGCTGGGAAGGTGAGGTCGCAAAGTGTGTGAAGGGCTTGGCAGGTGACTGGGACTCAAAGTCACGTTTTCTTCACCTGCCTCTGGCAGGGTAAAGGAGAGCAGCCCGTCTCTGAAGAGCAAGCATCAGGCTGCCTGGAACAGCCCACACAAGACTTAGAAAACCTTCCCACTCAAGGAGCTTCCTGGCTCCTGGGGTCTGTGCCTGGGCACTGACAGACCTGCAGTCGTACCCTGACCCAGCACAGTGCCAGCTATGTGGCCTCTGATGTGAGGGCTGCTATCCACACCTCACGCATACTGCATTGTACCTACCTCACGGAATCTGAACAACACCATGCATGTGAGTTGCTGGCACAGAGCAGGTGCCTGGAGAAGGCCAGCTGCCACTCACTGGCCAGGGGAGAGAACCGGCCAGGGGCTGGTGGGATGGTGGTGGCAGCCGGGGCTCTCTTGCTTAATCAAGGCCACACAGCTGAGACCGGGGCACAGCACAGAGAAGCTGCTAAAGAGAGGTGATGCAAAGAAAATCTCACCGGTGCAGAGGTGGTCCTTTAGCCAGTCCAGCTCCCTGACCTTCACTACACCACCTGCAGGAATGAGAATGAGTGGCACTCCCGAGCTCTCCAGGTAATTAGGAAAGTGAATCTTTACTACGCCGTTAACACCCGCCTATCCAGCCTCCATCTCGCCCTTCACCTGCCTGCCCACCTGTGTCTCTTCTTTCCACCCTCATTTCCTCTTTCCTGAGTGTCTAGTGCCACTGACTGTACCAGACACAGGGAACATAAACATCTGAGTCCTGGTTTCTGTCTTTGGGGACCAGCCATAGAAGGGGAGACTGGCAGGTTAACAGATGCTACAATACAGCAAGGTGGGGGCAATGCTGACAGGGGCGCAAACTGCCTGAAGGAGAGAGGACTCCACGTCAGGTCAAGGGCTGTTGGGGGGCTCTGCACAGCATGTGGCTGTGCCTCCCATCTTTAGTGACAGCCTCTTGCACCCTGCACATTCACTGGCATTGCCAGAGCAGGGAGGGCAGACACCACTTAGCGAGCCAGGGACACAGACAGTAAAATACAATGTCATTAGTATCTGGTGCAGACCGGGGGGAGCACTGGGAAGGTTGGTGTGGAGGGAGGGGGTGACTTCAGAGACGGGCAAAGGTGCAGGAGGGGTGTGGATAAGTCTGTGAGAGGACAAAGAACCACAGGGGACAAGAGCCAGGACCTGAAGACAAGAGGTGAGCAAGGAGCATGGTCCCAGTGCCTACAGCAACAGGAAACCTCTGAAGGGCCTGAGTCCCACAGGGTCGATTCTTTGCCTGAGGTCGAGAGAGCAGTCCTGCCACAGGCAGGAGGGCTCCACTGTCCTGTGACATAAACCCATTCCCACAAGCTGCAGGGACACAGAGACTGGACAGACAGGCAGGCAGAGCGAGGACATTGAGGGAGAGGCTGAGCCTGTGACCTGAACCCCTGGCTCGCTGTCAGAAGAGGCAGGGAAGGCAGGCAGCAGTCAGGCCAGGGAGGTGTGCAAATCAAGGAAGCACTTGTGCGCATCCCCTGGGCACTGGTACCCTGGCAGGTTCAACCTGCATCTCAGCAAGGCCATTCTGGACGTTGTTCAGAAGACAGTCTGGGAAGGCCAGTTGGGGGTGGAGAGGAAGACACCGCCGGCTTCCAGGCCAGAAGGAGCTGAAGGGGGATGTGGTGGTGGGAGCGGGCAGGTGGCCCAAGTGCAGATCCCTTGTGAAGCTATGTGAAGCCAGGACAACACCGGCTCCCTCCATTCACCTGGTGCAAAGGGAAGCAGGTGGAATCCCACCAGCCAATGTCACCATCTTGGTTGTTTCTCCCGCCTGTCAAACAGAAACCTCCCTTGCTGCTGGGCCTCACCTCCTGTGGCAGCCAGGTGGCTGTTTAGGGTAATGTTCCGCTGGCACATGGCCAGGAGGTCTGCGCCGACATCTGGAATGACAGAGGGCAAGCCAGAATGTGCTGTTAGTACACTTCTGTCTTCAGGGTTCCACCTGGAGAGCTGCTACCAACAGCAGGACTGCAGAGACCAGAGCCATGCCGCCCTTCTGAGTTCTACTGCCCAAAATAAAGACACGCACCGCAGGCTCTTTTCAGTGAGCACCCTCTCCTAGCAGAGTGTCTCATCCTGGTATCTGGAAGGCAGAGGAAAGAGAACCCAGCCTTTCTCAAGCACATATATGAAAATGCACTGCACAGGCACCTTGAAGCTGGCATCAGGACTCCCACTTGGCAGGCTGAGCCCCTGAGGAGGTCCTATGACCAGTGAGGGTCCTCTGCACCCCAGAGAAATGAGGAGGGGTATCCAGTACGATTCACTACAATGCAGAGCAGATCCAAACTGGCCAAGGTGCTCTCCTTGTAGCCGATTTACTGTCTGCTACCAGCAGTCTCTCTGGCTACCCAAGTGAAGTGGAATTTCTCACCGTTTCAACAGAACTGATTTGTAGCACAGGAAATGTTTCCCAGGAAAGAGTGCTTTGAAAAACTTAACTTTCATTCAGGAGGATGTCCAAGTGGAAGGTACAGACTGTCCTGTGAATGACATCCCGTGGGTCTATGATGGGCACAGTCAGGTCCACCCCAATCAGTGCACACTCCCTAGGATTACACTGCTGGCACTGTGGCTTAAGCTAGCATGTCTGCTTAGAGTCTCCTGTGGATTCTAGGAGGTGATTGGCCCTCAGGGCATGACACTCATCAGTGCAGGACTCCACTGGGTGTTCTCGGCTGAACACGCTCTTAGATGGGGCCTGGCTGGAAAAGGTGGGTTACTGGGGGCAACCTCTGGAGGCTGCAGCTCCCTCCCCAGTCCTCCCTTCCCTCTGATTCCTGGCTGCTGTGGTGCAAGCAGCTTCTGCCATGGCCTTCTACCATGATATTCTTGCCTCGGATGCAGCTGACCGCAAGACTGAAATCTGAGCCAAATAAAACATGAGCCAAATTAAGCCTCTCCTTCATGTTGAGGGTGTCAGTTATTTTGTCCCAGCAATGGGTAATCTGACTAATGCAGTACCCAGGGGTCACTAAGAGCCTGTGACAGGGAACCTAGCACTAGCGCTTCTCCTGTACCACTAGGTCACAAGCATGTTGAGTGACAGGCTTAAGGGTTTGGAAATCTTTTTTCTTCCTTCTAATTGGGTGCTGGGATCCAACCAGAGCCCCACACGTTATGCATGCTCAGAGAATCATTCACAGCCTCCCCATTTAAAAATCTGTATGGTAGTTTTTGTTATAAGAAATCTTATGAGGGATTCTAATATACACAACAGGTGAGAGGAGCAGCTACGACTGAGGGGGTAGGAGCCCTGGAGTCCCCCAAAAGCCCTATGTACCCACCAGAACTATGCTCCACAGATAGCCTGAAAAACACCCATACAACCAAATCCACACTGTGAGCAACTAGGTCCAGCCAAGGGTCTCGGGTCTCAGCGGCAGCTCAGGAAGGACCTGGGACCAGCACTGAACGGTAGCCTCAGTCAGTGCATTTGTACAAAGGGACGGTGAAAAGCCCCTTGGCTACTGTCCAGGGCCGCTATAAAGTTACAGCCTGGCGCTGAGACATGTGCGAAGGCTGTGCGCACCGTAACATCCCACCTAAAAGCGACTTCTCTATGCAGATCAACCTCTGTTGCAAGGATGGCATAAGCTGATTATACCTTGCTATGATGCGCTGGGCACCCAGCAAAGCTCTGGGCTGTTCCACTGAGGCTTGACTCGCTGGAAGTTCACATGAAATGGTCAAGGGTGATCAAGGAGCATCACTTCGTGTGGCTTCCTGGCCACGGGACACCCTGGCATGTACGATGGGGATGCCCCAACAGCAGGACACCAGCTCCCCCTTTCCCAGCTCAGAAGCAAAGTCAGCACCCTGAAAACCGTCTAGGAAACAAAGACCTACAGTCCACCCCAGCAAACACCTCTTTCTGCTTAGCAGACCTGAGACTGAAAATATCATCACGCTGCCCATCTGAGGAGACTGCGGCTCTCACAGTCCAGCGCCTGCTTTCAGTTCCATCAATGGCACTTCACTGCTGTCAGTTTGTTGGTTCTGGTCACCGTACAGGGTTGGGTAAGATGCTCAGAACAGAGGGGTCAAAAAAGAAGGATCCAGGGGCTGGGCATGTAGGTCCTTGATAGAGTGCTAGCTTAGCACTGGCAAGGGCCTGGGTTTGATCCCCAGTGTCACCAAAAAGAAAATAATTCCAAGTTACCTGGCTGCTGGGCCATATTCAAAAGAACTTTTAACAAAATGGGAAAACACTCTTGGAAAAAATGCCTGTCAACACTCTGCGCCAGATGTACTTCATTTTTTGAGATGATGCATACACAAAGGAAAAAGCTTGTAACATCTACATGAACAGTTAAAACGGAGGCTGAAACGCAGTACCCGGGGGCCAGTGCCTCAGTTCTTGTATTCACTGTGGATCCCCGATGCCTAGAGGTGTCCTGGGCACACAGTAGGTGCTGAACAAATGGTATCCTGCTGGACCAATCTGAGGGTTGTAAAATTACAACTAATTTTTATTTGCTGTTTTATAGACATTTCAAAGAACAGACAAAATTTCCATAACCAGGAGGAAATGATAAACCCGCTTTTGAGGTCGTATGACAGGAACAACCTCAGCGATTTCTTCGGGTATTTGCTTTCTTGGGGTGTGAGGAGAGACAGAGTGCTAGACGCTTCTGATACCCAGTGGTCTGTGGCCACAGAGGAGGTGCTGTGGACTGCTGCACCACCATCAGGGAAGAACAGTGCGGCCGGGACTCAGGGAGCAGGGTGGCAGATGCACAGCAAACCTGCCTCACGCTTGGGCCCCCACTTCATTACCTGTACAGTACACGGTCCGCGCCATGGTTGCTGCCACGATGCTGGCGAACCCCGTGCCCGCCCCGAGCTCCAACACAGTCCGTCCCTGGAACAGGTCCCTCCTGAACAGGATGTAGTCTGCCAGGAGCAGGGCACCCTGCCACACCTGGGGGGAAGAGGACAGAGGAGGTGATGGGAGGCTCTGGAGAGACCCTTTGGGGCCAGGGGCCGCAGATAGGACATACCCACCTGCTTGCCAACGTCCTCCAGGGGGGTGGCCATGGTGTGCTCTAGACAGGATGGGAACCAAAAGAGAAATGCCTGCTGTGAAAAAGGGGACAGGCAGAAAAGCACCAATGTGGCCAGGTGGACAGGGGAGTAGGGTGCTCTGGACAGCTGCAAAAGCTTTAGGCTGGGAGCCAGGGACCAAGGGTCACTCTTCTCCAAACCCCTGGGCAACTGCCCCATGGCCCAGACTGTGTCATGACAGCCTAGTTATAAATATGCACCATGCATATTTTATGTCCAATAAGTACAACTTTACAATTCCAATATATTCACCTGCTAATAATAATCACAACTCGTTCCCAAGTATTTTCTTACACTTGGAACTGCATTAGAAGTGTACAACATGAGTCTGAATTTCTATTCTTTTTTTTTTTTTTTTTTAAAGTTGATGAGTTCAGTGTTCCCAAATACAGAGTTTGTTAGGATAAAATTCTAGTGTGGTAGGGGAAGGGACGAGAAAGACGAGATTAAGGAAGAAAAAGAACACAGGACCTTTCTGCTGTGCAACTGGAACATGATCCTGTGTGTGTGAGACACGGCTATGATGTTAAAACATGGCACAGTAGGCTCTTGCTCAAACCAAACCACAGATTTAGAAACACAAAGAAACATGTAGGGGCGGGGGAAAGTGGGGCAAAGGGTAGAGTAGGGATACTGGCCCGGCTCCCAGGATGCCTGCTCGTCCCTGGTCCTTTCTGGCTCCTGCAAGCTCTCGGTGTGAGCATCTCACCATGTGGATGGGCCAGGCACCTAAAAATGTGTGCTGCTGTCACCACCAGCCCAGGACACAAGCCAATCACCCTGTCCCCAAGCCAGGAGGTCTGTGGTCTGAGGGCTTCTTTAGGACAAGTGTGGTGAAGGATTCCTGCCCTTCATGCAGACTTAGAATTTACGGCCCCAATGAAATGACTCACATTCTTCCTGTGCACCAGCTTCCTGTTGGGCTTGATAACATTAATTTGGAAGTCACTTTGGGTAACCAGACCTCCTTTCAGATGGATGTAAGGACAGTGTGATGGCCTAGCATGTGGGGATCTGCTTTGAAACTGGAGCATAAATATACCAGCAACCAACTGCCCTATCCCTCTAATGAACCAGACAGGTGGGCAGCCAGAGGCAGACTGCGGCTCACACACAAGGTCCTTTCTCCTTGATCTGGGCTATTCCCACTTACAGATGCAGATGGGCAGATCCAGGCTCAACCACAGTGCTCCAGAGTCAGGCTCAAGTATGTGCACTAGGGGTGGGCAGCTCTCCTTGGGAGGGCACATGGATCTGAGGTCAGGCCCTGAGGAAGAACCAGGTCTTGTCACCCTCTCAATGGGTGACATCACCTGCTTCACATCCTGGACTCTGAGCTGTAATTTTCTCTTGCATCAAAGGGAAGGAAGATCTGCTCATCCTTGGGTTGTAACCGGCTTCAGTCAAGTCACACTTTGCAGGGAGCCAGGTCTTGGCAGATACTGGGAAACTGCTGATCAAGCCACATGCCCAAACTCTTGTAGAGTTGGTGGCCCCCTGGAGCATACAGAGGGAAAATTACTATTAGCCTGACGTCATGACCAAGGGCAATAAAACCCAACTAGACCAAAATATGGCAAGATATTTCCCTGAAGCCAATTTGGTGCAAAAAAGGATTTTAAAATCTAGTCATTTGTGAGATTAAAAAAGTTCTGACTTACTAGGCTTTATTTATTAAATTATATGATCAAATCCTAGGACAGCTGTATATAGCATCCTGTTCTATAGGTGCAAACCTGAGTGTCTGGGTGAACAGCGCCATGCACAAAGCTGCTTGGCTTGTGAGGGGTGGGGATCATGCCAAAATCTAGCCCTGCTTGACCTGTAAGCCCAGGGCTCAGCATCATTTTGTGGTGGTGGTGCAGGATTTAGGTATTAGAGGTCATCCCTTAAGCACAGGAACTTAGCTACACAATGCTCTCCCCAGAGATGGCCAGAACCAACAGTGAGTGGAGAAACAGGTGCAGGTATGGGACATGGTGACTGCAGCGAAGGGCATGTGGGGCAGCTGCCAGGCACTGGCCCGTCCTGTGGCCTCTGCTCTTAGCTTGCAGGATGTAGGATGTGAAGTACATGAACACTGGAAACTGACTCATGGGAGGACTGACTCTGTGCTCCCCTGAGGGAAATGACCTCTTGCCAGCACTTGAGAATCAACCTTTCATCCTGCTCAAGCCACTTTCAAAGGCTCTGATCGCTTGCCCCTAGGGACTGTGGCCACAGACAGACCTGGGTGTGAGTTCCACATCTGCAGGTGACTAGCTGGGTGACCTGGGGCAAGTTTTGCAACATCTCAGGGCCTCAGTCCTTATCTCTGTGAAGAGGGTAGACTCATCCCTCCTGTAGAGGCCACAGGGCCAGAAAATGTCTGCAGAAAATACAGCGTGGTCCAATGTGGACTGTCACCCCCCACCAGAACAGTCTAGAACAGACTGCTCGGTAGTGAACAGAACTCAGTAACTCATGTGTGGACACATGTCAAAGTGGCTGTTCTGTCTGGCTGTGAATGTGACTATTGCCCTACAAGCTCAATGTGGCCAGGGTGGGCCTTTCCACAGGCCCTAGGCTGCACTTATGACGCTGGATCTCAACAGATTCAGAACAGAGCTCTCCTTGTGAGTCCTGGGGTGGGAGGATGGGCTCCAGTCTCCTTGCCTGGGTGCCTCTTGGAGGTCTGTGGAGTCTAAGGGAGACCACGTTGGTAAAACATCCAACAGGTGCTCAGCCAATGCTGGCTTTTCTCCTGTCCTCACTCCACAATCTCTGGAGTTTCCAGAGCACTGTGTCCCTAGATTCTAGACTGGAGTCTCCAGAGCACTGTGCTGCCCCTGCACTGGGAGGCAGCATCCTGAGCCCAGCCCGCATTTCCTCCCCTTTCCCTCCCAGCTCCTGTGAATCGCCTCACCCACACTTGCGCTCTGGCCCCTTTCAGAGTTCCCTGTTGCCTACCAGCCTGGCCAAGCCCTCCACACACACTATCCTGACCCACATTCCCAGCATACTGAGTTACAGCACAGGGACATGGGAAGCAGTGGCAGAGTCTTCCTAGAGAAGGTGACAGTTAAACTGGGACCTGCACAACAGCTGCAAACATACTAAGGAAGCAAAGGCTGGTGGCAGGCATCCTGGGAAAGAGACAAGCACAGCAGAGGCCCAGAAGTTAGGAGGCATGTGGGAGGCTATGAGAGCTGATGCAGTGTGAGTTGCAGCTGGAGTGGGAAGCAGAGGCCAAGCCACGCACAGCCCTCTCAGCTGTGTCATCTGGACTCTATCCTGAGGACAATGGGGAGCTGAGGAAGCCTTCAACAAGTGACCGATATGCCTTGCAAAGTGCTCTCTGCTGGCAGAGACACTTGTTTGCACTTTTATGCTTATGATATCCTGGCCTGGGCCTGACCGAGGACCTATTCTGCTGCAAATACATGGGCCACCCTGAGGGCAGCAGAGCCAGGCCTTCTTTTACCTATTTTGATGATAGTCTGGGGGCAGCTCTCAGGTGTTTCATCTTCTAGGATGTCCTCTTCTTCCTGGGTTAGAACTGTGGGTTGTACCTTGTCTCGTGGTGGCTCTGCAGGGTCAGGATCAGAGGCAGCCCGTGGTCTTCTCACCACATCCAAATCCCCATCCTCATCCAGCTGAGCACCTGCCTCTTCCTGGCTGGTGCTGTCAGAACTGGCCCAGAGGGAGAAACCCTCATGACCACAACCCCTTCCAGGAGGGGACCATGGGCCACTGGTCCCAGCAGGAGGGGTCTCCTGTGTGGTGACACATTTGTGATCACCACGCTTAGCCCCTGAGTCCGTCCAAGAGTCTTGGCTCCATAGAAGCTTGAACTGGGATAGGAAAACTGAAAGGCAAAATAAGACATAAAATAACTCCAAAGCATCTTTTCTTTAGCTCCTATTCTTGTTTGAAAAATCTGATTTCCACCTGGATGGAATTTTAAAAGCTGGATGGACACACCCTAACAACAGCAGAAAAGGCCCATTTAATTTTGTAGGGACCACTGGCTTGTGCTGCTGGGGCCACACAAGCAGCCAAAACCAGCAATCAGCACAGGCTCCTGAGGATCTATGACACAGGTATGAAGATGTAGGCATCCATCTACCTACCCATCCACACACCCTCGCACATGGCCCCCTTATCTTGTTTAATTCTCAGAATCACCACGGACATGGCATATCTGCTCCTACTCACAGATAAACAGGCTGACAAATAGAGGGAGCTACTAAGACTGCACAGCCACGTCTATGGCTGAGGCAGGATTCAAACAACCTCTTCTACCCTCTGGCTGACATCATTTTTGGTCTACTGTTCTATCTCTTTATTTTATTTTTTATTCATGTATTTGGTAAAGGTCTTGCTATGCAGCTTAGACTCATAGCGATCCTGTTTTCAGCATTCCCATGCCTGGTCTTGGGGACCCAGCATGGGGCTGGCAGTGCATGCAGTATTGGGGATCGAACCTGGGTCCTTGCACTTGCTAGGCAGGCACTTAGACTGCTATCTTCCTGGCCCTGTTCTGGCTCTTAGGCCTGGTTGACAGACAAGAAATATAGTGTTTCTCACCATCTGGTGGCCAGAAAGTCACTAGGACAAGCTTTCAATGAAAATATACACACCAGGGCCAGGTGTGGTAATGCATACATAACCCAGCACTCTGGGAGGCCGAGGCAAGATCACAAGCATGAGCCCAGCCTGGGCAACTTAGTGAAACCCTGTCTCAAAATAAACGTAGAAAGAATTCTCCAACTATAGCTCAGGTTCTGGATTCAATCACCAGTAAGTAAACAACTCCGCCCCACATCCAAAAGTGCTAGGACAGCAGGTTAGAGGCAGGCAGAGCAAGGGCTTCAGAGCTGGAAGCCTCGCACTGAGACCTAGCATCTATGTCTGACCCTGGGGCGAGTCACGTCTCTCTTCTGAGCCGTAGCATAGTAAGTGTCCACCCCTGGCTTGTCTAAGGATATGACGGTATGATAACAGAAAGCACCTGGCCCAGAGCAGGCACTCCATACCCGTTTCCAAATCTCTCTTCTTTCTACTCCCTTCACCTTTTTTTTTTTCTAAAGAGAGGGTCAAAGTTGCCCAAGTTGGTCTCAAACTTGTAACCCTTCTGCCTTGGCCTCCCAAATAGCTGGGATTATAGGGATGTACCACGGTTCCTTAGCTACCATGACTTGACATGATGCAGCACTCACTTTCTCCACATGACTGTAAGTTCACTGAGGGCAGAACTCAATTTATGAACTCCTCCACTGCCGGCATCAGCAATACGCACATGCTAGGTGCCTGGGGAACACAAGACTGGGCTCAGTGAAGGAAGCGTACTTAGATGACAGAAGGATGACATGTGAGCAGTCCAGTCTTCCCAATGTTTTACCCAGAAATTAAAATGGGTTCTGCAGGGTGCTTGGGGACTGTATTAATGCTAGGATCTTACCGGGCTGCCCCACGCCATTCAGCCGCACCATGAGGTGTCTCTGGTTTGGGGTGTACAGGTGGACATCTGACAGCACCGTGTCACTTCTGAAGGTGACCTCATCCATGGCTGGGTCCCACATGACTCCTGGGCCGGGAGCACCTGAGAGGTGAGGACAGGTCCTCAGGGTGGCAGGCCTCAAAGGCTAACAGTATAGGACACCCTACCAGGTGGGGGGGGGGCACTGCTCATCATCACCAAGAACGTGCTTTCCTTGCCAATTCCTTTCCAGTATTTACTAAGGCGAAAGTCTCAGGGCCTTGGCAGGGGAAAAGAATTCTGCCAGAACTAATTGCTATTTTGTGTGCACAGTATTCATTTTCACAGTAATATTCTATTTATAGTAACTGACCCGAGTTTTCATTTACAGTGATAAATTCTCTTTGAATTCCTTGAGAGCTCGCTGCAGACATCATGACATGACCCCTTAATTCTCATTTAGGGTCTGTTCCCTAAGAATACTTTCCTGTATGATGGTAAGACCATTTGCACACTTATGACCAAGACTGTCTAATATCACCTAAAATTCAGGTCACAGTAAATCTCCTGTCTCCCAAATGTCTTTCACTGCTAATTTTTCTTAAATCAGAATCCAATCATGATTTATGCTTTGCAGTCAGGTGTTAAGGGCCCTTAGCCCGTTTTTCTTACTCTAGAAGCTAACATCACCTCCCACATATCATTTGTTGTTTTAGTTTTCCTATTAAAACAGTGAGTGGATTTAAAGGAAATGCAATTAAGGGGCCCACTGGGCAGGTGATACAGACATGGAAAAATTATGAAGGTGACCAGGCAATAACTAGAATTTGGAAAACCAGGCCTAGGTTAAAAAATAGGAAGGATTTTCCATCAACAAAATGTTCTACTTCATCAAAAGGCACCAAACAGCAGCAACGGGGTGGGCTTTGCAGTTCAGTAGGTGAAATACAAACACTAGTCACCTATATAGCTGTGTGACCTTGGGGCAAAATCACTTCACCTCTCTGGTCTTATTTCTTCAGGTATATTCTCACTCAGGTCAGGTGTGTGTACTACGTCATGAAATTTTCAGGGCCTCCAACTATTCAAATGGAAAATGAGATCACCATAGCCCCGATGTCATGATTCAAGAACACACAACTGGATTTCCTATAATTACCTGCTTGCCATAAAAGAGCAAAAGTTGTCCTAACGAAGAATTTTGTGAAAAGAAGACTCTCATATAAACCTACTCACCATACTGGCCTTCCTACTCAATACTGCAAGTGAATCTGGCAATTCAGTGGAGGATTTATTGTGAATAAAACTGTTAGCTAAAGAAGACTGGTAAAATGAGGTTGGATCCAGGGGGAAGAACTCCACCACTGCATCACACTGAACTAGCTGACCTTCCTCTTTTCCTCCCTCTTATTTATTTAGTTTTGGTCTTCAGGGTTGAATGTAGGCCTTCAGATTGAACTACAATCCTATATCCACCTCTTTAATTTTATTTTGAGACAGGGTCTCACTAGGTCCCTAAGCTGGCCAGAGTGGGCCGGAACTTCTGATTCTCTTGCCTCAAGCTCCAGGAGTGCTGGGCCTTGAGGTCTCCCAGGGCTGAGAGATGTCCTGGGGGAAAACAGAATTCCTGTCTATAGTTTTTTTTTTTTCTGGGAAAATATAGCTTCCTTTCTGCAACTGTGCAAGTTGAACACAAGCCAAAGAACATCACTTGTTGCCACAGTACAAGGTTGCAGGAAAAACTGCACCCTAGTAAACGAATGTCTATTGCTCTTTCCGAAAGTGAATATGATATCACATGCCACACTGACTTGAATACTGTAGAAACAAAAAAGCAGCTTAATTTCTAGTTCAATTTTCAAATTTAAAATTCCAAATACTCAGGCGTTTCAGGACATGAGTCCAGGTGAGGTGGAGCCCCTTTAAGGAACTCCTGCATCAGCTACCTAGGAGTAAGGAGGCCCTCTTGTCGCTGTCTCAGGGGCTGTGTGTGCAGGAAAGGAGACGGTTGCCACTTACAGGACTGGAAACATAGTACACAATAAGTAAGAATAGTAAGCACTATCGTTATAGCAATGTAATTATTAAGCTGCGGGCTGGGAAGATGGGACAAGGCAGTAGTCAGTTTGTCTAGTTCGCGACAGTGACTCAAGAGTCTGCGAATGCTGCGCTGGATGTGCAACTGGGGCTTCTTTCCTTCCTGGGCAGAGCTTTGGGGAGGGGATGGTGGTGGGGCGGGGGACACAGGCCCGAAATAAGATGGGAAACACAGCTCCCTCCCTCGGCTGCAGGAGGCTCTTTCCTAACGTTGAGCTGACAGGTATTTTTGGTTTCTTTAACCCAGTGGGGTTTGGGCTCATGCCTCTAAGGGTCCCCGCTGTCCCCAAACGCAGTCTGCTGGCTGGCGCTGGGGCCTGAAACAGCTTCCCTTCTTCCTGTCTGCCGGGTGCCACCCACTCACTGAGTAATGAGGCTCTGTGCGATTCCACGATGCTTCGTGGCCAGATGCTGGGTAATGGGAGGGCACACTGAAGACCTGGAAGCTGGAGGAACCAGCGCCCAGGATGCAGGAAAAGCCCGGCCGGACCGTGCAGTCCAGAGTCGGTTTTGGGGACCCCTCCCCCACAGCTGCTCCAGCCTCGCAGCCTCCCGGAACCCCTTCCTGTGGGATAAGCACTACTTTCTCAAATGGCAGTTAAGGCTTAATCCGACACCGAGCGGAAGGCTGTCTGGATCCCGGACGCAAGCCGAGAAGAGCCCGTGGAATCCTTTCCCGACGTCCTCGTGCACAAGGAGAAACTGAGGCTCACATGGGATCGGGATTTAGGCTTCAGGTTTGCGGCAGCCCAGATCTCAAAGCCAGGTTTGGTCCTAAAAGGCTCCCTGCACTTTACCCCATCCTCCGTTTCTCCCAGGGGCTTACCCGCCGCGACCCCCAGCCTGGAGTACCCCAGGCCCCTCGCCGCCGACTCAGGCGGCCTCCATGGCGGCAGGCCTGCGCAGGCGCAGCTCCGCCCCTCCGGTGGCCACGCCCACCTGAAAAGTGCCTCGCTGGCGCATGCGCGTGGGCCTTCGCTGCGGTCCAGGACGCCGGGAGGGACCCGCAGCCCCTGCAGAAATAGTGGCGGCTGTCACCTTCCTCGGTTTACTGCGGTGACAGTTCTGCAGGTGGGCCTCTGAACTCACCGTCTAAAGCAGTTAAATAAAACCCTGAAGTTTAAAGAGAGCTTTGAAAATTAGTTCTCTCTCTAAAAAAAAAAAAAAAAAAAAAAAAAAAAAAAAAAAAAAGAAAGAAAGAAAAGAAAATCAGTTCTCTAGTGCCTTCACGTTGAGTGCAACTTCCATGCCCAGCCATGGCGCCTAGCCAGAGAGGCATAATACATTTTTTGTTATAAAGGCCCATGAACAAGGGTGTGTTAAACCCACGTTTATTCTTTAGACTATTTATTTTCTTTCTTTTTTTTTTTTTTTTTTTTTTTTTTGGTGTGTGTGCAGGCTCTCACTATGCATCTCGGACTCAATAGTGATCCTTCTGATTTCTGCCTCCCTAAGGCTGGGATTACAGGTGTGCACTACCTCGCCCGGACTCCAGCGCGGGCTTAGCGCGCCCTGGGGCGGGGCCGGTGCGGCCAGTGGTGCCAGACATGAAACCCTCGGCCCTGAGCTTACCTAAACAAGTGCTTAGTCCGCTGAGCTGTATCGCCGGCCCTTCTTTAGGTTGTTTCTATTGATAAATTACTAATTTTAATTTCATGAGTTTTATTATGTTAAACAATGAGGGCTTAACAGAAAAATAAGACATTACATTTTTAGCATTTATTATTCATAAAAAGTCTGAAAATTTTCACCATAGACTGTCTTTTGGGGTACAAAGTCTTAAAAAAGAACAAAAAATAAATTGCTATATGAATTACAATGCAAATAGCAATAGCACTCTAAAAAAAAAAAATCGAATTTACTTCAATTATCACACCTAAGGAAGTTTTCACACATAATAGCAGCACATTCCATACACGCATATCACTTACACTGACTCCACTTTTTTTTTTTTTTTTTGGTCTTTTTGAGACAGGGTTTTGCTATGCAGTTCAGGGTGGTCTTGGGCTCGCTTTGTACTCCACACGTTGGTGTCAAACTCTCAGTGATCCTCCTGCCTCAGCCTCCCGAGTGCTGGGATTATAGGCATGTGCTGCCACGCCCAGCTTAGCACATGTGTTTTGCTTTCCTGGCCTTTTTGTAGAACATATTTCCTATAAGTAAAGTGCTTCTGTACAGTAGAGGAGGGCGTCTAACGCTTTGACCCGTCCTCCATTTCTCCTAAGGGCTTACCCACTGACACTCAGCCTGGAGTACCCCGACCCCTTGCTGCTGGGGGGTCTAATTACAGTCTCATTTCCTCCCCAGTTTTTTTTTTTTTCTTCCCCAGTTTTATAGGCTTTTCTTGGATTTTCTAGGCTTTTCCTGTTTTGTGAAAATAGGATCTTGCTGTATATTCCAGGGTGGCCTGGAGCACACCATTGTCTTGTCTCAGCCTCTCAAATAGCTGGGATTACAGGCCTACCTCACCACAAGTAGATATTTTCTCATATGCTTGATGGCAAAAGGTGAACAAATCCAGACAGTCCAGGCCATATTCAGGCCTGTGGCTAGGCTCCTGGTAACACAGAGTCACCCTGACAGGAAGTGATAATGTCACTGGGTTATAGACAGCTAAGTTAAAAGTCAGTGGGCCACCAGAGAGGGACTGGGCCTCAGAGGGGGTCAGTGTGGAAATGAGACGCACCAGGACTGTGGCTCGAGGGGACTCTGAAGAGAGCCAGCCCTCACAGCGGACGTGCAGCAGCCAAGCTGCAAGCCTCCCTAGAGAAAATGGCAAGCTGAGGTTTGAAATTAATACCGCCTGGCCCGCTGAATCCAGCTAGGCCTAAGATGCCTAACTGCGTGACTGGAGCATCTAGATTCATACTGGAATCCATTTCCAGCAATGCTGTTGTTCTGTCCATGTACCCTTGCTGTGTGACCCACTTCCCTTTTGGACCAATATCGGCTCTGGCACCATACTTGTAATCCTATAGGTTGATTGACAACGTTTAACCCATGTTGTATCTGCGATGTGATTTTGTTGTATTAAACACTCTTGACAAAGAGCCTGCATAGGCACACACTTAGGACCCCTCATGATAACCCAGAAGCTATTCATCTCATTTCCAATAAAACCCTGCAAACTTCCTCCTTTGGTTCTTGACATCATTCCTTGATGTTGTAAGGGCATGAACACACATCTGACATCTAACACGTTGGGAATTATTTCCCCCTTCACAGCTGGACTGGGTCTGAGAGGTTCCCAAAGCTGAGAGAAAGAATTTAACCCATGCTAAATATAGACTATGACTAGAGGTTCGCTCTCACCACAGGAATTTTCAGGACGAGTCAATAAGAGAATGGGAAAGATTTTATTAGGCAGAAATTAAAAGGTACACACTCAAGGAAATAGAGTATGGGCCAGAGAAAGAGAGAGAGAGAGAGAGAGAGAGAGAGAGAGAGAGAGAGAGAGAGGCATTATGAACCAGAGTGAGGTATATTTTTGCAGTCTCAGGGATATATTCATGATACATGATCTAGGATGTGTACTTCTAACTGTTACATCACCCGTATAGCCAGCGGTCAGAGTGCAGGCCACTTACATGTGTTTGAGCTGAGAGGTACTGCACTGTAATGTTACTGCCTCCGTGAGGATGGAAGAAGCACAATTTACAGATGACAAGGACAGGCCTAGAGCCGAATTCATCACTTTATTGTTTCTTTATGTCCTTTAGGAATTATTTTTCAGAGGGCCAGCCAAATAGCTCAGCGAATTAAAGCTCCTGCAAGCAGGCACAGAGGCCCAGAGTTCGATCCCCAGGCCTGCCATGCAGGGCCCACTTCGGGGCGTGCTGAGATGGCAATTGAGACTGGGCATGGTGGTGCACGCCTGTAATCCCAGCTCTTGGGAGGCTGTAAACAGGCGGACCACTGTGAGTCTGATCTAGTAGTGAGACCCTGAACACCCTGTAGACCCTTCCCCCCCAAAAAAAAAAAATTCAGTGAGTTTTCTGAAAGGAAAAAAGGCTTAAGTAACTTCTGTGTCTTTTTTTTTTTTATGAGCAGAATATATTTATTGAGGGAAAGAAAGCTCCTATCTGAGAGAGGGATAGGAGGTGGGCCCGAGTGGGTTGTCCCTGCACTTCAGTATCTTGATAGGCAGGGATACTCACCACTATGCTGACGAGGACGACGCAACTTCAGTGTCCTGAAGGTGAAATTTTGCTTAAAAGTTTCAAATCATGATCTCTTTTTTGTCTCCTTTTTGCCTACTTTTTATTTCTTCTATCCTACCTCAGTAAGGCCTTCCTTCCAATCTGCTCTGTAGGGCTCCAGAGCCTATTCTGGTGACTACTGTAGCCGGCTATTTATGGTCACTATTGTTGCTGTTACCCCTTGCCCTTGGTACTGGTGGTCGTTAATAGTTGGCAGTTATTTACTCATTTATCCAGTAAGTCTTCAACACTGGGGGACATCCAGAATCTCAGTCTTAGTTGGAATCTTAAACAAGAAATGAAATCTGATGCAAATGTTGTACTAGATTGTGAGTATCCTGAAACCGGGGAGCGGCGGGCACCTAAAGGTCCTTTGAGCCTTTAGTGTGGATCTCAGAGCTTCCATTTGTATCCACTGGGCTTTTGCTGAGTGTTTTATCTGTGGGTAGTGGGGCTTCTGAATCACGGGGTGCAGACAGTATAGGCTGATGGGGAGCCCACAGGAGGCCCCAGGCCTGGGTGAACTTTCATCCTTGTCCCAGAAAGCTAGATGACACTTGCACAATGCTGATGGTCACCACTATTGTACCTTTCTGGACAGCAGATTTCTGAAGTGTTGAAAACTACCCTGTGCACCTTTACAAAAGCTTCTGCCTGTGTTGGCTGATTTCCTGCTGTCTGTCTTGTCTTCGTCCCTGGATCCCTCCCTCCCCGGCCCAGGAACATTAATGTACAGTACATAAAGATTCAGGCAGAAATGCGGACACATGCAGATAGGTCACACATAGTCCTCCATGCAAATGTGTTCATGCAGGTGCCAGGACAGATGTGCACAAAGGTGGACCTGCAGACCGTCCGCCTCCCTGAGCTTCCCTGAGACGTATTTGTCCTTAACATACATTTTGCATGTACTTGCTGTGGATCACTATTGCAGGTGTGTGGGGCAAGGGGGAAAGGGATAAAACAACCAAAGAGACAAATCTCCTGCCCTCATAGAACCTAAGTTTTGGGTGGGAGGCCAGGCTGTGACTGATGTTGCAGAGAACAGGGTTGGGGAATGGAGAGTGATCAAGGAGCCTGGGAAGGCCAGACTGATAAGGCAAAAGGTGAACAAGGGGCTGAGTGCAGTGAGGAGTGGGCTGTGCAGGTGTATGGGGCAGCATGCCATGGAGAAGGAGAAACCAGGGCATAGCCCCTGTGGCATCTCAGTGCTAAGTGTATTCCAGGGCCAGGCTGGAAGTCAGCCTAGCAGGAGTGGAGTAAGCCCGGGGAGGGCCAGTAGGAAACATCTGTGCAAAGGTGGGCAGGGCATGTGCTTTGGATCCATTGTATGAATTCAGGACTTTACTGTGCCTGGGATGGGGAGCCTCTGAGCACATACTTCACACAGGGCACACACAGGCACAGGCAGAACAGAGCTGTGCCTGCCCGCAATGGACAGGCACAGTACAATGGACACCCAAATATAAACACACAGGAGACAGGGTCAATGTACAGTGCGTGTGCTGGTCTGAGCATGCGTGTGCACTCCCCCATTGCCACACACAGGGCCTCAGCTGGTACCCTTTAATTACTTTTAATCAGAGATTTCTCTTTCCAAAACAGAAGTGAGTCAACATCAATTTCATGGCTACTGTCAATAAAACGCAGGTGCTGATAGGGTGAACAAGTAACACAAATAAGAAAAAAGCATTTTTAAGAAAA